AATCTCAGGACACTTTACAAAGTAAGGTCTAGACCTCACTCTTACTCATCATGTCGTGGTCGACATTTCAGCCTTCACCTGCTTGCATGTAAGTTCCTGAATTGCCACCTATGCTGACGTCACTTTTGTCCTCCTATACCAGGGCAGGGCAAACTTTTTGACTCGCGGGCCACAATGGGTTCTAAAATTTGACAGAGGGGCCGGGCCAGGAGCAGAAGGATGGAGTGTTTGTGTGAACTAATATAAATGACATATAAAAGCCATTATATAAAAGGTGTTGGCCTTTAACAGGTAGCAAAGCATGAATATGCAAGGCTTATTATACAAATTATTCTCCAAATGCATTTTTTTCATAACAGTAGAGAAATAAACCTTCAGTTTCGATGGGAACAGTGTTGTTGGTCTCCCTTTTTAGCCAGTGCATCGAAGTCTGGAGTTAGGTTTGTTGTGGCTATTCTCAAGATAGATTTGAGGTGTTGGTCAGTTAACATGGATCTGTGACTGGCTTTGTTGATGTTCAGCTCCAAACAACGCCAGCATCTTCTGTGCCGTCCTCTGAAGGTTTGGAAACGTGGCTTCGTTAAGTGAAGCATAAAAGTCATTTAGTTTAAGAAAGTTGAACTTCGCCTTTAATACGGAGTCAGACTGAAGATTGATTAGTTCCAATTGCAGCTCCTGTGGTGCTGTTTCAGGGTCTTGTGACAGGGGACAAGACACCAGCTGAAGCTGAGTGTCAATTTTTTTAAAAATCAGAGAACCGACAGCAAAAATCTCCTTGCAGGTCGTCCAGTGATTTGCTGTATTTCTTCACTTTTCGGGTGGCCTCTTTCTGCATGGCTAGTGTAATATTTGAGTTAGATGAACTTAGGTTTGTTTTTCTTATTTGTTTTATTCCTTACTTATATGTTTCACAATTGCATTGATGACTGTTAGAACTGCTTAGTATCTTCTGTTTGTCTGTTAAAAGAATGTGTCTGCAGGAGGTGTGCGCTTTTAAGTTAACCAAATGTCCGGTGTTTACTGTTCATTTATCAGGGTTTGTGTATGCAGGATGTTTGGGCTTATAATAAATCAAATCGTCCAATTGCAGACAAAAGACCTCAAGCTCCTTTAACACTCATGTAGCCCAGGGATTTTTTAAATGCAGATATTTTATGCCTAAACACATCTAAACACGGTTGCCTTTTACTCCATTTACATTTATGAATATAATATTTTGCCAAAATAATAAAGTTATTGACCAAGAATTCCACATCTCTTTCTTTCAGAGATATACCATATTTGATGTTTTCTAAAGTGAAGGGTGCTAAAACAAATCAGTTTTGGACCTGAGCCAGTCATTTAAACATGCCCAAAAGTTAGATGTACGATTACAATAGCAAAACAAGTGATCTGTGGTCTGTCTCAGAGTTGCAAAAAGTACAGCAGTTCTCATCCATATTAAATTTCATTCGTAAGAATTCTTTAGAGCGGTAGAATTCATTCAGCATCTTGAAATGCACCTCTTTGGCTTTAGGAATTATGGGGAATGAAATGTATCTCTTTCTTATTTCACAAGCCAGCCTGAAAGACCATCAAATACATAGTTACTGTATTGTATTTTGAGACAGAAGGTCGCTCAT